TGGAGCGCCCGGCGGGTAGGCTGTCCCGTTGAGCGCGCGTGTGCAGCGGGACAGCCCGCCCTCCCACTCCCAGGGGCTCTAGTGGAGCGCCCGGCGGGTAGGCTGTCCCGTTGAGCGCGCGTGTGCAGCGGGACAGCCCGCCCTCCCACTCCCAGGGGCTCCAGTGGAGCGCCTGGCGGGTAGGCTGTCCCGTAGGGCGCACGTGTGCGGAGGGACAGCCCGCCATCCCAGGGGCTCTCTAGCGGACAGTGCTGTAGCTCCAGCGGCCCCAGCGGGCAGATTTTAAAGGAGCTCATTTCCATGCCTCTTGAATTGGTGTACCAGTATATTGGTACAGTGCGACGGGTCCTAAGAACGTCGTCCGATCTCCCAGTGCCACCTTATCGCATGTGCATGTACACTGCTGAATCCCAATCCATCAAAGCTTTTCCCGGTATCGGACAGGGTTCACGCCCGCAGGGGCTTATTGCCCAGTCTTGCTCACCTCACAATGCCATAGTAGTTGCACTGCAGCGGCAGTGCCGGGGCAGTGCTGGACGTGGCGAGCGTTCGGGAGTGGGGCAAAGGGGCGGGGACAGACACAACAAAAAGATGGGGGAGGGGGACACAGATAGACATGAAGGCGGGGGGCGAGGCTGCCCAGGGCTGTCTGACCAGCAGTGTACTGCTGTTGGTCTGTCGCAGTATTCCCCCCTTCCCCTTTCCCCTCCACTCCTTTTATCCCGCGCCTCGCCCCGAGCTCCCGCTAAATTAATGACGAATCTGACGTAACACTGACGTCCCTCTTTATTAACTTTTTTTTCGCCCGCCTTGGCAGTGTCGTTGTTGGCCTAGGCATTTTCCCTTTCCGAGACGCACTCCAGTAGGCACTCGGAAAAAAAGAGGGAAATTATTAATCTAATGTTTTACCCCGCGGAAAGTTTTCTCTTGCACTCACTCACAGCCTCTCTTTTTCATACCTCGGTGTGCGCTTCGCTCGGGCCGTGGCGTCCCTGATTATTATCTTGATGGGGTATTCTCTTCCCCGTGACGACCCCTCTGGGGGCCCCGCCGGCCCCGGCACTGCTCTCGCCACAACTACCTCCCCGGCAGGACGGCCGCTCTTCAATTTCACGTTATCAGCGGATAAAAGCGCTGCTCGCCTTGCCTCCCAAAGCCGCGCCCGAGCGGTCTTGTTTAGCGGTCGTTTGAATTCGCGCGCGCGTGCGCGCATCCTGTCCCGCGCGCCCGACTGGGTGAGTAACTTGGGTATGGTCGGGACTGCCCTGTGCCGCGCGAATGGCTAACTGCTCCGTTTGGTTCACCGCGCACAGGCTATATATTTTCTCAGTCTCCCTTAAAATTAAAACACCGTAATCAAAGAAAGGATATTTTAAGTACAGTGGTAAGGGCAAATGCTCGTGTTTTTTTTTTATGTTTTTGTTTTTCGGCAGGTGTGTGCGAGACACGAGGCAGCCACCGTGCGGACGGGCGAGAGCTTGTGGTATGATTTACGCTCGCCAGACTGGGACATCCGGTCGGGCGCCCGACGTATGGGATCCACGTTGCACCACCTGCACCGCGCGCCGAGGTGGAGCAGCGCCGGAACGGTAAAGCCTTTTCGCGTCTTATTTTCCTTTTGCTTCGCCTGCCTCGCTGCGTGCCGTGCGCGCCTGTATGCATTACGGAGAGGGAGTTTGGTCCGCATGTGTGCACTCTACCTCCCGAGTGCGGCGGGGCAGGGGGCCGCACGGTCACTGGTGATACGCGGCAAAGAATGTCGATAGCTGCATTCCAAAGAAACTCAACTGTGTGTTACATGTCTGCTGAATACCAAGCGCGTACACTCCAAATAAAATTATCGTAATTTTACGAAATTTTCTCGGTTAATTTTCTATTACGAAAACTTTTTTAACGTTTTAACAAATTGTAATACGTCGACATTTTACGAATTGGTTTGTAAAATGCAAAGCTCCATCCAGGCGGTATGAAAATTGTTGTAATTTTTTGTCTAATTTTATGACGTTTAACCCTAAAATTTTCATTCGTTACGAAATATATTTGTAACTTAATGAAACGTTTCGTAAATTGACACTTACAAAACATTTTCGTAAATTATTTTTTACGAAGCATTTCGTAACTTTTTTCAGTAAAATCATGAAACTTTTTTACATTGTGTAGGGAGGTCCAAAAAAGCTGCAGGCTTGTCATTCGGTTATACAGAAAGCCCAGCACGTACACGGGTAGGCCGCTGTCCTCCAGGTCGCCCCGGGGGACAGCCGGGGACAGCTTGCCGTATGAAGCGGGCGGGCGGTGGACGGGCGGACGGTGGAGTCGCGCGGGAAGCCTGCCCCATCTCTCCATCTCCATGTCGTACAGGTAACCTTCGTCGACGTGCGGCGTGTGCCCGGTAACGAGAGTGCATTATTGATTTTGCACAGAGCCAAAAATATGGTCTCCATCACGTTTGTCGTTGTTGTTGTCTCAACCATTTTGGTGCTCCCTGAAGCCAACTGTAAGGGTTGCCATTGCTAGTCATTTTTCTGGGCGCAGCGAGAGAGGTGTCCCCGCCCCGCGGCCGCCGCTGGCTCCCTCCCCACGGCACACGGGGCGCGCCGAACCATTAGTTAGCATGTTGCACCGCTGCGGACAGGTGCGGGGGACGTTAGGACTGCTCACGTTACGGCCCCGCCCGGCCCCGTGAGATGTTGGACTGGCGGGCGGGAGAGGTGCGGGTGGCGGAGGCCCCCTGGCGCCCCTTTCCAGCGCACGGCCCCCGCACGGCCCTCCGAGGGGCTGTTTAGATCTCGCCAGCCTTGAGGTGGAGGGGGTCTTCTCGTCTGGCAAGCCCTCACCCCCCACCCCTACCCTCCCGCCTCGCTCGCTTCCTGCCCTGTGATAACCCCGCTCCTGCTCCTGGCCGCGCGCGACTTCGAGTTTGAAATGTTTGGCCAAGAATGGGAGGGGAGCGGGTGAAAGGCATGGTGCCGATGGGACGCCGTCCGTCGCGGCGTCCAGGGAGGCCGCGCGGCCGCGCAGTCGTGGCCCTCTATTTCTGGGGCCGCGGCGCCCGCCTCGCGCCTCTTGTGTGCGCGGAGAAGCGCGGCGCCGCCCCCCCGGCCCGTGGCTTGTCACCTCGGAGGCGTGGCGGGGGAGGGGGCGGGGCAGAGGCGTGAAGGACTCTCTTCTCAGGAATGCCTCGCGCCCGCTCGCGCCCCGCACGTCGCCGAGTGATAAACCTGTCCCCTCGTGGCGCGCACCCCCAGCGCCGCGGCAGCGCGCACTCAACGGCCACTAAATTAGCGCAAAGCGTCTCGATATTTCGCGCCGGCTGTCGCGACGACGCCGCGGCGGCGAAACGCGGTTGTGACCGAAACGTGACAGCGGCGTGACACTCACAAAGGGGACTGTGTGAGGTAGGGAAAGGGGAAGGTGGGTGGGGGGGGGGAGTCAGTGTCACGGCGTCTGCAGGAATGGGACGCAAGCGCGACGCATGACTAAAAGGCTTGCAAAAAGGCTTGGCTTGACGGCCACTGAGCCCCTTGGAGAGCCTCCCCGTTTGTCGGTGGTGCGGGAAGGGGGGGGGGGGGCACTAACTTGTTGCCCGCAGTTTATGTCCAGTCCCTCGGGGGTGCCTTCTCCTAGGCAGCTCGACGCTCATACGGCGCCCTGCCGGCTACACCGACTGCTAATTTGAAAAAGGGGGAAAAGAGGGGAGGAAGGACGGAACAAAAATATAGAAGAAAATAGGAACACGTGTAGAAAGCGGGTTGCAAGTGAAGGAGCGAGTTGAAGAGGGGGAGAAGAACGTTTCTCTGTCCTGTCGGTTGAATAATGAAGTAGCGTGCCAAAGCGAGGCCAGGCCTCTCCCTCATCCATCACCAATTCTGAGTGGAAATGATTTTCCGCATCAATTTCTCGGAGGATGATCGGAGTTAATTTCGCTCGTGTTGGACCAGCAGCGCATGCCTGGCGCAACCGGGCCACTGTGACATGACTTCGTTGCTTCAAAATATGTTTTGTTTACCAGTTTTATTCTGAAAATTTGTTTGGCAACTGTATAAAAAAATGTCGAATGCATTGTTATGTGCAGAGTGGACACACTCTTCGACTCTTTCCTGATTGTGAATAGTTCAGAGTGATTTTCACGCTCCGTATAAAGCTTAACCCAGCTAATCGACTATTTCGCTCTCTCGTTTTGGGAACTCTCTAGCCACTTTTAATAATGCCATAAAATGTCATTCAAACATTCAAACATTCAAACAGCACGCGGGTTTGTTTATGCCGTACCGTACGCCCAGTTATTGTGGGCATCCTGGCCCGGCCGGCCGGGTGCGGCGCGGCGTGCAGTCGTGTTTTGAACACGGACGGAAAGAGAGCAGAATGGACGGGGCGTGGCGCGGCGCGGCGTCCTCGCGGACAGACGCCTCTTTGATTCGGTAATGGCAGTTTATTTGTGGCAGTGCGTGCCGCGCCTGTACACTGTAGCGAGGCACAGCCGGTAGCCGGTCCGACAGCTTTTGTCTCGGAGTGTACCCTCGAGTGTGCATGCTGAACTGGGAGTAGCAAAATTCATACTCGACTCGCCGGGTTTGGAATATTCACAGTAAATACACTGGGAAAGCAACGGTAGGACGTAGTGTCTTTTTAAGGTGCTCAATTGTAGTGCCTTTAGAAAGGCACGAAAGTAATCAACACCCCAAGAAGGGTGTTGATTCCTACCTTTTTCATATATGTGCTATTTGGACTTGTAATTTTAACTCTGGAATTGTCTGTGCCGTAAAAACAAAAATACAAGCTCTCGCAGCTCAAGAAATTAACATATGAAAAATGATAACTTAGTGTATATACACTACTGATTTTTTTGGTACTGTGTAGCATCAGGTTACTCCCTTCGTCTGCGAGGTGTCACTAACGGTCCGTTTGATAATATTTACGGTGACAGGAATGAACTGCACTGGGATGCTGCTGGCTAACCTCTAACACTTTGACGACAGTAGTAAGCAAGTGGGAGCGACAGCAATGCGAGAGCCACGACGAGGACGTTGTGACACGGGCGCTCATCTCAGGAGACCCCCCTCCCCCCTCCCCAGCCGAAGGGCCTGAGTCCTATAAGCCCACCCATTCTCTTTTACTCTCCCTCATGCGCTTACTTATGCTTACTTTATTCGTCTTACACTCCTCTCTCACCCCCTCCTCTATCCCTTCGCCCATTCCTCCCCCCCATACACACACATATTTTTTCTGTCTCAATCTTCCCTATCTGCCCAAAGCAAGCAGTCATGTTTATCATTCGTATTATGCGACTCTATTCGTTGCTCACAATTGGTCAGCTGATCGTGATACCGGGCTGTGCGCTTGGCCTTTGCATCCCCCCTCTCTCTCTCTCCCTCCACCCTTCTCCAATCTTTGGATTGCAGGCTGCGAAGCGCAACCGGCTTACTATCGACATTCCTTTCGGGTCGCTGGCACTGCCGCCAATACTCTGTGCGTCTTAATTGACGATCTTCTTAAAGTTTGTAAGGTTTTCTTTCAGATGCCGCCTTTACGGAAAATTTTGTACGTTATTAATCCAAAGTCTACCTTAGTACAAAACTGACGAGGCAAGAATGCCTGAGCCGAAAGGCTGGCCCACTCATCAAGCATCCGGAACTAAGGCTCCTACTCTCACCCTTCACACTACTGATGAGATAATTCGGCACTGTGCCATCCACCTCCCCACCCCCTTCCCCGTCGGCAGCCCACCCCCTCACCAGCCCCCTTCCCCCCCTTTCCTCACTCTCAGCTCGTTCTCTGCCCAGCAAGAGCGAGATGTGTGATTTATACCCCTCTCGCCCCGCGCCGACTTTTAACTCGTTCATTTTTTTCCTGTCCGAGAGAAAAATATTGCGGTGACACGCACGCTGACCTTGGCTACCTTGAACCACACAACGATCTGCTGAAACCCCACCCACGCACTGCAAGCCATCTATTTTTTTTAGGTTTACTTTTATTTTTTTTTATAAAATACAGAGGGATTGGGATTGCGCGCGCTCAAATAAATTAAAACAAATCCCAGGTTTTCTTGTTCCTTTCTTTTCAAAGTTATTTTCGTGTTTTTTGTGCCAAAGTAATGAAATCGTAAATTTCGTTGTTTAGCCGCGACATAAACATTGTGCTTAATTTAGTGATCGTTGGCCTTGGCAATGTCCTCTGCTTCTGTCTTGTCAGTACAAATAATAATTTTCAGCCTGAAGTAATTTTGGTGGGTGGGCGATATACTCTTCTTACTCACTAGGGGCCAAAGCTACCACATTACTTGAACTAATCTCAATATGAAATTTATACATATATCAGACTCAAACGGCTGCTGAAAGAGACTTTAGCAGGTATCCGTGTTTCTCCCACCTGCCAGGATAGAGCAGCTGACCGTGTGGCCGACTGCAGCCCTGTTTTATTATAGCTGTCCCTCCCTGACACCAAGACACAACGCATGCACGCACATTTTGCCCACGTTCACACACACACACACACACACACTCACTCACTCACACACTGCGAATCAACAAGCAATGTAACAAGCAAATAAGCTAGGTTCGACTGTAAGAGTAAATAGTTTTGTAGGTTGAACTTAAACTAAAAAGTGAATCCGAACCCTAAATGAACTGGGTTAAGCGGTTTCAACTTAGTGCTTTGATTATTTTTATTTTAAGATAAACTTTTGTTTTGCATTTGCAACTGTTGAAACTTGGGCTATTATTTTCTTGTTTCAGTCAAATCTGTCACCTCGTACAGTGTTTTGTAACACTTTTGGAGAGGGAGAGGAGAGAGAGAGACCTGCGTATACACAGGCACGCACTGAGACGCAACATGTGTACCACACAATCGAAGTTGATGGTAATTAGAGATTATGTTAGCGTTCACTTTCATGAGGTTGTTTCGCCCTTTCGTTGGAATGTGAGCCATGATGAGCCTTCAGGATCACTGGTAATGTTCTTCAAACCTTCAATTTCATTCAACTTTTAAGCTGTGTTTTCCACTATAATTCCTCCTTTTTTAAACAAAGTTCCTAACTCGCTAACTTTTCAGATTTGAAAATTCACTAACTTTAGAGCTTGTTAGTGCACACCCTCACCTTGCCGTGTTAGTAAATCCTGACTGCGACGATGCTTTGGGGTTGACGACTCGCACTCTCGCGTCACGTGACGACCGCACTCGCGTTCGGCCCGGGCGGCCGGCAGGTACTTAGTAAGTGGCTGCGACGGGCGTCGCCCGGGGCGCGCTGTAGCGGGGTGGCGGGGCGTGGCGGGCCTTCGTCTTGGCGACCCGCTGTGCGGCCAGCAGAGCAGGCGGAGCAGCAGCCCGACGCGACGCACGGTGAAACGAACCAGGCTACGCCAGCCTGACCCCTTGTGTACCACTCACGCCACGCCCCGCCACGCGGCGCCCGGCGCCCAGCCAACCCGGCTGGGCGCGGGGAGGGGCGGCGCTGCGGCGGGCCGAGGGGGGCTCACAGCTTGGCAAGCGTGCGTATTTTTAGGGCCCCCCCAAATCATAACGATGAGTTTCGCGCCTATTCTTCCTGGCTGTAAGGTGGTAGTTCCGCCCTTCCGTCCCCTCGCCCTCGCCTCTCTTCGTCCGCATTCACTCGTCACCTGCAATCTCAACCCTGAAATTTCAGACAGTCCTCAAGACTGTCTTTACCAGAAAGTGTCTTCCTTGTTCAATTCCTCTACATTGTTTGAACCGAATCATATGTGAAACGTATCGTTATTTTTATCCTTTTCATCTGTATTGGGTGGTAGGGAAGAGTCGGGTTCAATAATATTTGATCGAAATTTAGGTATAGGGAATTAGGAGGGTAACCTCTGTACATAAATTATACGTCAACTTCCCCGGCCACTTAGTTACCTCTCGGTTTGGCGGCATGGCGCACGGCTGCGAATCAGGGCGCGCACCCCAATCAAGGGCGGCGTCATGCCCGCGGTGAGTCCCAGTGGACGGGTCCGGGACGGGGCCGGGACGGGTGCGAGGCGTCGGGGCTTAAAGGCCCGGGCCTAATCCATGCAAATCCAGTTACCGTCCCGTGTCCAGACCCTCCAAGCCTGTCCGCACTCCGCAGGGACCCGCCTCAAACGGAACTGTACCCCCGGCGGCCGTACCCGGAGTAGATACCCAGCTACTGGTGGTGGTGGTGGTGGTGGTGGTAGTACGGGACATAAGCGACGAAAAACGACGAAAGTTTGCATTTTGTAGTAGAGCAAAACGGTTTGGAGGGTATGTAGTACATACCCATAGTTCACTTTTAAGAAGTGGTGCTGACCTCTACCCCGCGACTGGACCGCTCTACGGGGGTTGCATACTCCGCAGGGGCAAAACACAGAAAGCACGTAAAACATGATTTTTTCGAGCCTGTTTTGGTTGCAATTGTTTTAGAAATGAAATATGCAGCATATACCAACATGCTCGACTCAATCAAGCGGGTTGCCTACCTCTAAGGCGTCAAAATATCGCAAAAATCGAAAAATCACTCAAATAACCTTCTTTGCGGCAGAAAGGCGTGTTTTATTGAGTAGAAGTGCTTGTGAGGATTTGTTAAGTGTGTGTGTGTGTGTTGGTGTATCTGTATGGGGGGAGGGGGGAGATCACTACTCGCGCAGAAACGCCCCTCAGCTCAGCGTAAGTTGCACTTTGAGTGTAAACAGTTCATAATGTAGCGAAACCGTTTAGCGGGTGTGTTGTACGCACCCACAGGTCACTTCCAAGACGTTTCGCACACCTCTACCCCACAACTGGACCGCCCACAACGAGGGGAGCGGGTTGCATACTCCGCAGGGGCAAAATTCAAAAACTAGCTAAATCATTACTTTTCGAGCTGTTAATGGTCCCCATTGTTTACAAAATGGGAAATACTTCACATCTCAACCTATTCGGACCACTGCGGGTTGCCTACATCCATGGCGCAAACATACCGTCGAAAAATAGGTAGATCACTTTGCCTTTTTCTTTATGAAAGACTCATGCCGGCCGAAGTTCTTGTGCGCGTGTGTGTGTGTGCCTTTGTGCCCAGGACAAGTCAATGTTATTGTGCAGAACACTCCGAAAAGGTAAACATAATTCAAGCAACGTATAATTCTGTTATTCAATAGAAAGTATAATTTTTATTCATAGAAGATGCTTTGGTACGAGACTCTTTACTCTACAGGGACACGCACATTTACTTTGCAGGGACAAGTACATAAGTCTGTGCACGATTGGTTCGCTTTAAAGCAGCTGCAGTTTTCCACGCATACTACCTTACAATGACATTTTACGACAATGTCTTTACAGGCAACCTCAGCCGTTGGTTTCGTGCGGTACGCGGGCTTCCACCCGTCTTTTCCGCGCAAAATGCCCCAGTCGGGTGGCGAGGGAAGAACTTGCTGCTTAACAGTGAGCTGACTCCAAACTTGTGCTTAATGAGAAGCCCTCAAAAAATGCAGCACAGACGCATCCTCAGTAGGGGGAATAGTTTTCATTGAGCGACTGCAACTGCCACCAATAAGTGACCGACGGCATTCGGTTAGTGATGCAAATTGTCAACTGAAGAGAAAAAGGAAACAAATACGGTTATAGAAATATGGGGGGAATATGTGGAAAACTGCAGCTGCTTTAAAGCGAACCAAACGTGCACAGACTTATGTACTTGTCCCTGCAAAGTAAATGTGCGTGTCCCTGTAAAGAGTCTCGTACCAAAGCATCTTCTATAAATAAAAA